GTGCAATGAGATCAGTCCGCTAGTTAGTCAAGTTATCCCGTCTCAAATGACTTGCGCCTCAGAGCGAGCAGACGAAACAATAAATGCGGTCATTGCTTTCAGAGGTGGATGCTGCTGTTCGGGAACGCAGTCGTGTAAGACAGTTCAGGGAGGAAATTATATAGAAATGCTTTGACAGACTTTGCTCAGGCATTTCAAAATGACCAAAACAACATTTAAGATGCTGTGCAATGAGATCAGTCCGCTAGTTAGTCAAGTTATCCCGTCTCATCGCGTAAAGTCACATGACTTTTTTTTGATGCACATGGAGGAATTTATTTGGTAAGTGTGTTTCCATATCCCATTATTCGCATTAACTTTTTTCAAAATCCACCTCAAGCGAGCGTAAAAACTTTTTTTTATGAATGAAGGGATTTTTTTCTCGAACTTTGGTGTTTCCATCACTCTTTTCTGATACGATACTTCAAAATGCACATAAAAACAGGGTGATGGAAGCATGGCTACTGTATGCTTAGCTCTTAGTGTGCCAATCTGTCCATCAAAGTTCTTAGCATTAACAAAAATTACAATAAAATAAAAATATAAAATTGAAAGTAGAAATTAAAAATATTTGTTTTTAACCATACTAAAATTGAAAACAAAATTAGAAAATGATGCTACATAAAGTAGTGGATTTTTCAAAACTATAACAACTATTATTTCCATGTCTCCTTCTGCAGGAACGGACATACAGCTCTTTCTTGTTGATTTTGTACAACAACCTGAAATCACTACATATCTGTCTACTGAAAGAAAGAGATGGGGTGAGGCTTGTTGATCAGGTTCAGTGTCAAAGTTGGTTTGCTTTTAAGTCAAACGTCTGATTCCTGGCCTGGCTTCATATAGGTTTATATGAGGTCAGAAAACTGATTTCTGCTGGCCTTGAATGGAGTTCGTCTTCATTATAATGGATAGTGGGTTGAGTCATGCAGTATATTGCATTTTATATATATAAATAAATACAGCCTGAAGGTATGTGAAATGAATAAGCTATGTGAAAAATTTAGGAAATGGCATTGAAAATGCAGTCTTGACAGAATTTAAAGGCCAATTTTTGAATTTGTCAACCAGTAAATGGGCTTTTTGTTTGTTTATAGGTGTTTCTTAGGGATTTTTTAATTAAACTCCTTTTAAACCAGTGGAAACTTGTGCTTTTCTGCCGGCAGTATAGAAGCACAGACATCGCTTATCAATGGTGAAATATGTACTACAAAGATTCTTCTCAAACTTCTACTAAACAGAAAATTTTTTTCTGATATTTGTTGGCTCTAGTCACTCCCTCCCATTCGTGCTCTGTCTCCTTTAGACAAAGTGGTGGCCATCAGATAGCCATAGATCAGGTTGATTATTTTGATGTTTAATCCGTCCCATTGTTGTTCATTAGTCATCTGAGCTCAATAGCATCGGCTACAGTGGTTTACAGCCTGTCAGTCATCGTAGATTAACTATTCCGTCTGTCGTTGTCGTGAAGGGATTCTGGGAGGTCACGGCGCACAAAGAGATGGGCTTGTTAGTGCAAGAGGGATGGAGAGATGTCTCTGTGTCAAACTGCAGACCGATCACTTTTGGGTGTTTAATGATGGTTAAAAATGTCTGACGTCTGCATGGAATGACAAACTAGACCAGAGTTCAGCCAGGAACTGCCAAAACAGATGCTCCACATGACCTTTGATTTATTAAATAGTCAAATAATTTTGTTGAACATCGCATGATTTTTGCTCTACATGTTTAGAAGGAAGCGTTTATGCCTATGGTTTCTCATGAGGACTTACACAGTTTTTCAGTTATGACTGATACGAGTTATAGACTGATGAACTGGTTTGGCATATTCATTGGTTCATATTTGAGCATTTAGAAAATCAGCACTGGATGATGATAACTATTCCAGCAGGCAGATTAAAGGGATAGTTCCTCCAAAAATAAAAATGTGTTTGTTTCTTCTGTTGAACACAATAGAAGATATTTCGAAGAATGTTGGTAACCAAACTTTTGCTGGTAGCCATTGACCTCCATAGTATAGAAAAAAAAAATGCTTACCCACATTTTTCTAAATATTTTATTTTGTGTTCAACAGAAGAAAAACACTCATACAGGTTTGGAACAAATTGAAGGTGAGTAAATGATGACAGAATTTTCATTTTTGGGTGAACTATCCCTTTAAAGGTGGGGTAAGCGATTTTTCAAAAACGCTTTAGAAAACTGATTCGGGCTGACTAGCAAAACAAACTTGTAGCCAATCAGCAGTAAGGGGCGTGTCTACTCATGATGTGGATTAGAGAGCATTCAGTCCGAGCCGAGCGACAGAAAGATAGAGATGGCAGATAAAAAACAAAAGAGGAAACGTCTGAAGGCTTAAGGCAAAAGAAGGCTTAACCCTCTAAGCGCCAAAGTCGCAAAATTGCGACAAGACGTCATACTTAATCAAATAGACTGTAGTTCCTAATATGGTGTAATATCTCATTTGTATTCCCTACCACTAGACGGCAGACATGTAGTACTTCGATTCTAGACCAAAATTACGTCACCTTCCTATTCAAAGTGTTCTATATCTATGGTGTAGACAGCATCACTGATTATAATGAGTTCCATATTATTTTGTCGCGCCGTGCCACTCGCGTTGAACATTGGTTTTGCTTTGTTTCACAGAACTAATCGTTGCCTGGGTTGAAAGGGAGTTGTCATTCTACCTAGTATTTTCAAAAATTCCACCAGCCTTGTTACAATGTTAATTTGGTATAATGTAGTATTTATTAATACTTTAACTTTAACTTTTATTTTTTTTTATTTTCAGTTTTCATTTTAGTTCATATTTCACAATTTTGTAATGTGCTTTTGTCGATTTTATTAGTTATACTATATATATATATATATATATACTGTATATATATATATATATATTCTTTATTGTTATTAAAGGTATTGTTATTATTGTTATTAAAAATTATTGTTAATTTTATTAATTTGAGTACTTATAGTTGCCATTAAGTTGCCAAAGTTTATCATCTATTTATTGCAGTTCTGCTTCAGTTCCCGAAAATAAAGGGGTTTAGTTTGTTATCAGTGACAACACTGCCTTGTTAATTTCTTATTTTTATTTTTTTTAAATTTGTGAGTTTTGAGTAAATAATGTGTAAACTTAGTTTAAATTTGTTTAAATTCATGAATTATTATTTCCTGTTAATAAATAATTAAATTCTTAATTCTAATAATTATAAATATGTTAGTATAAATCTATGTTTGTAATCATATTTATGAAAGTTTAATTAATATAATAAAATTATTTAGTATATTTCAATATAATTTAAAATTTCATTTCAAAGGTTTCATTTGTTATTATTGTAATGTTGTTGTTATTGTTAACATAAATTTATACTATACTTTTTTTTGTATTATCAGGATGTCAGCCATTCTGCTTTCTAGATATCGCCATGTTTTTCCTAAAAATGTTCATAAATTATTAAAAGATTAAATGATATGGGTTCTGTTCTGCATATTTTTCTAATTCAGTAAAAGTGGCTATGTAATAATGGGCAGTTTCCTTTCACTCTTGACATTTTATGACAGGGTCATGGGCATTGATCCTTTTCAGCCAAAATTATTTTATGGTCAGTTAGTCTTCTTTATGATGGGCCATCAATCACGCTGGACTCATGCAGGGAAGGGCAGCAGAGCTCCTCAGTTAAATTCTCATTGCACAAGCTCACAAAGTAAAAAAAAAAAAAAACTGCCACTTCAACTTTATATTTCCATTGATTTGAAGATCTTTTAAAAAGCAGCTGTATATTTGAGAATAATGGTGGTTCTCTCCCTACAAGCTCTGCAAGAATAGACCTTTCACTTGGACTAAAAGTTTGTGTTGTTGGCTCAGCAAACTCACTGCAGAGAACTTGAGCTTTCCAAAGCTGAGCTTCTGAGCTGTCTAAATGTCCACTGCAGCACTTTCTCTGAGACGATAACACTGCATTACCACTGAACCAATGAGAGACCATCAGACTTTTTGGCAAAAGTGTTACCATTAAGCTGGAAGTTGGAACAGGAACATGTACACGCTGAAGAGATGGAGGTCTTTTATCATCCTGAGGGAAACACAGTCCTGACCTACACAGAGTAACGATTACTGAGAAATCTTTGTCTTTTTGTATGGACTCTTATCTGTTCATTTTTTTCTGTGTCTGCCTCTCTTTGTGTCATTATTCACTTCTAGATTAATCAATGCAAACGCCAGAGAACCTAAAGATTTTATGTAGTTATTAATTTTTTTTTTTGGTCCTCGCATTAACTTAAAAAGGGGTTTCTGTGGGTGTTAAAAAAAAGGTCTTTCACAAATGAAGGCCTTGAAAGGTCTTAAATCAGAGCAGAGTCTTAAAGTCTGAAATTCATGAAATCATGACATGAAATGTTGCTTGCACTGCCAAAAATTAATAACATCCTCAGGTTTTTCCCAATGCAAATATCTAAACATCCTTAAATCGAGAGAGATTTGAGATCTCTCTCTCTCTCTCTCTCTCTCTCTCTCTCTCTCTCTGTCTCTCAAACAAACAAAAAACCTTTTCACCTTAAAAATCAGATGATTTTACATTTTTATAACAAACTTAATATAAAAAGGACAACAATGTTATTTGTTTAAAAAATGACAAATTAATGTTACTTGTTAAAAATGTAATATATATATATATATATATATATATATGATTCATTTGTA